CGTTCAGAATCTAAAATTAAACAAGTCAAATTGATATATGTATAAAAAACCACGTTTGATATAATGACTTCGAAAAAATCGCAAGTATTGGAGTTATTTATAGATTGAAAAAGGAAAGCAAAAGACTTGATCTGCAGTTTCTATCAAACCTATGAAATATTTTTAAACATCATAACAACAAAATATGTAAATTACTTTTATCAGATTTTTAAATTGATTGACTTTGTTTTAAAAGTATATCCAATAGTTCCTATATACATTATACATTTAATTTTTTCCCTGTTAATTTACATTCCCCTTAGTCCGTTAAAATATAATTTGTATATGCATATAGTTATAATGTAAGGAGCCTAATATTAGTTATGTATTCTTAATGAAGTTGCTTCGTTCAAATTTTTAAAACTACGCCCATTTCCTGTTATATTCGGATAAACAATAATTAATTATAGGCTACACGGCTAAATAAAAAAAGTTTTTCGTAAATGCATCATAATATATATTTGTAAACCATCTTGTACAATCAAACAATTTTTTATCATTTATGGTGCATGTTGATGAATACAAGCCAAGGTTATTTTTTACTTGATATTTTATTAAAGTCGACTCTCAAACAGTTAGAATGCAATTAAAATAGCTGTCATAATATTATGCCGATATATGCATGTACAATAGCTAATAATTAAACGCATTCGCTTCAACATTAAATGAAATTCGGATGTTTCATTCAGCGTGCTATCATTTCAAACAAATTGACCACCTACTGCAAGTGTTTATTCTAGTTATACTGATACCTATATAGTGTATACACATATTATGATATATATGTATATAATGTATTCCTACAATGTGTATACTTCAAATTCAATTATCTCTAATTTCGGATAAAGTTTTTGTGTTTTATTGAACTTTTAAGAATTAAAGAAATCCCTCGCTAATATAAAGAATACAATCAGTGAATTCGATTGTTGTTTCCAAAAGTGTAAATAGCTGTTGGTTCAACGAAAATAATCTTCAACGATCATTATATTATATTATGATGGTAGAAAAAACTAAGCTCGCGACGAGGTCTGCCAGCGGTCAGATAAAAAAAATCAATTAAATCGTCTTAACTTGTTTTAAAGCCTTGCTGATTCGGACCTAGAATGATGTATATTATAGAATATTCGGAAATCTTCCAGCACATTCAAAATATAAACCGACCGTCTGTTAAATCTTGCGTTGACTTTGGAGGGTATATACAATATAATAATATTATCAGCGTGATATACGATGTTGAATATGTTGTAAAATTCGTATAGCAATGTGATATCAATAGGATATACGTATATATATTTATTATAGCATATGATGTGAATAACACTCGATATTATTCCGTCTGCGTTCAGATCTTAGATCATATAATAGTATATTATTATATATGTAGTCTAAAGTTCAAATCGAACACGACCCGTAGAAAAAATCGAATCGATACGACTATATCAATATACACGATTGAACAGTGAACACGTAACGCGGTCTTATTGTAAATATTTTGATACTACCTATCGTATTGTTCAGTGGTATTATTTTCGCACCTATATCGTATAAAAATTACGTGCCCATAATAACGACGAACGACACATAATAATATATCCGTAATATCATTATATATATATATAGGTATAATTATATATTGTAGCGCTGTTCACGCGTCCGGACTTCATTGTAATATATATTATATATTATTGTACGTACCTATATAATATAATGGCGTCCGAATGTCCGACTCATAAATATAGCGATTTCGTCATGTTGTGACATGGACAATGCCAATATCGTATATATTCGTATAGATAGATGATGATAGACCTTCCTGGCCCCCGAGTCAGTAATATAGCATCAACATGGACAATATTATAACGGTCGCAGACGTACCACATTCGTGCATAAAACTTTCCATGTTAATAATATACATATTATTGATACTTGATAGAGACACTGAATTTATAGCGTTATATCTACTTACTAGTAGGTTTAGTTGTTGCTGCTATACGAAAACCGTTTCCACCGAACCTTGAACTCGTCGTATACCTATCTAAGTTGGTTGAGTACGCACGATTACGAGAAAACCTCGAACGACTCGATTGCTCGAACATATATATATATATGTGTGTGTGTGTGTTATAAATGTACAATATACACCTATTGATATCTTACCTGAAACCCGGAAAGTGGTTGCGATCGTGTCGAACCTATATAATATAGAAATCATTAATATTATAGTATATATTTGTGTGTAATGTGTATTTATTTTTTTTGAACCGTAATAGTTAAAAAAAAAACAATAATAATAGATCCCAAGTATTCGTTATTGTAAGCGTCTATAATAATGAAATTATTAAGAAGGGTATAATGGATGGTGGATGATGAATCGCGCGTTAGAATATAGCACCGCCCGCCAGAGTTCATCACCCCGCGTGCACCGGACACACCGAGTTTCGATTGCATATTATGACGTATTTTAGGCAACACGACTGTGACGCATTATACGTATTAAAAACAATTTCCTTAGTGTATATAATATAGTGCTATATGAATAAAAATTTGATGACCTCGACTTGACTTTCGAGTCGGCAAAAAATTCGAATTTTTTAATTCAACTCATCGTGTTGATGACTAATAAGTGGTTGTTCGGTAGATCGAGTTTACGCTTAAACCATAGTTGTAAATTATTACATTAGTAATACATGAGTTGTACAAAACACTCGGTTGAAATTTTATTATTACAACTACCCCAATCTAATATAATCTAATTCTCATCTGATTCTTTAGAACGATCTAGAATTTATTTTTAGACTTTTATGTTATTACACACCTTGCAGGATAGAACGTTTCTACGACCTACTTTAAATCATAATCATAACCTAACACATGTATATCTCTAATCACCGTGACATTTAAAGGGTACTATACTACGATATCCATTCACCGAGAAAGCTTTCTGTGGACGATTTCCTTCGCAGGCTCGCATCAGTGCATCACATCGCGTTCTTGTTTTCCACTCTCCCCAGTCACCATCACTCATCACGAACAATAAACGTACCTCCCCGCATGATGACGGATAGCACTATACATAATTAATATTGTATATAATAGATCATAGATGTCCTAAAAAAACGTGTAACGTGGTGTAAGGAGAGGGGGCTTGAAAATAAAAAATCACTTAACGATGCTCGGATTGTTGATAATATCAGTTCAATAGTTAGTTATCATTTATATTTATAGACTATGGTTGTAATGATTAGGTAAATACACGATTTAAGACACTGTATGTCTGTATTAAATCATCGATAAATATTAAAACAAATAATAATAAAAAATATGGTCAATGAAGAGGGCCCCCCTGCGTACGCTACTGATCGTGGTGACTTTAATAAGAAGTGACTATATAATAACGTACGTAGGACCTATTGGCTATTATTTATTATGTTATGTATAAAATAAAAATGATAGGTACACACATCATTGTCATCGAATTCGTTCCACGAGACCTTTTAATGCAATTTAAGTTATACCTAACCTTCTCGATTTCCGTTATGAACAACTTTCCCAAATAATAATCACTTTGCCTTTACACGTCATAATATTAAATTCACTCATTTTCATGACGACATTTTTCTCTCGTCAAAATCGTAACAACCGACGTAATCATAATATGCATTATATGTATACGCATTTGATAATATACTTACTTCTATCGTACTTAATAAAGTAATAACCGCATAATATAGTTGTGTATACTATATTTTTTATGTGAAAAAACCCTTTACCACCTATCCAACAATATAATGAATGATCTATTATAATCACCAGTCACTAATAACGAATGTATATTACAGGTTCCGGTCGTGTTTGAAAACAATCGGCACCGGATCCGCGAACCTGATCGGCAAGCTGTTCTTCAACGTGGTGCAGACAAAATGTTTTGTATTGAAACGCGTGCGGGTGTGCACGAAAAAAACGTGGTGGGGCAAGTGCCACAGGCACGAAAATAGGAAGAAAGCTTACATCAGGAACAATCTTACGTATTGAACATTTCGCTTTTGTATATAATATTAACCTACTTATATATATACGTACATATTATTTATAGATACATATTATTATATAAGATTTCTTAGTCTTGTCATACTCTACAGAGCCAGCTTATTTCCTATGTATAAGTAGTATATATAGGTATTTTCAAACACACACTTTTACACTTTATACATTTCCGGTAAACGGATATTTTTTTTGTGTTGTCATAAATACATATATATAGGTTTAATCAAATTATGTACGATTTACCATATTGACCTTAGAGGTAGGTACCTACTACATGCAGTCACCTATAATTCTTATATTGCTAAATAATTATGTTATAGATATAAGTATACGATTTAAGTAAGGTTCCATTAAGATGACTAAATTATGCGTAAGTATAGTACTATATAGGGGCGCCGAGTACAAGGGGGTCTTGGGCTCTGCAACTCCCCACATGAGCTCGATAAAGTGGAGCTCAGCCCCCTCCCACGGTTCTCAAATTGTAAAGTGCCATCAAAGTACTAATTTCATTCATGATAGATTGATTGAGAAAAATAAAAAAATTTCCGATATTAATAACAGAGAAAAAGTCTAGATTTTGGTAATCAATTAGGTTCTTGGTTAATAATTGGTCAATTGGTGTCTGATTAACCGTATGAATTGGTATGATAGTGGTTTGATATAAAATAATATTATACACTATACCTATTCTGTCACATTTTAAATAATATTTCCATTCTTCGTGTTCACCGTGATGAAGAAATAAATTTAGAAACTGTTGCAAACCAATTCATAAACAATAATTCTTAAGTGCGGAAAAATACATTTTCTATACAAAACATATATAACTTTAAAAATTAAATTGGTATTTTTAACTTTTGTCTTCTGGTTTTTATGATTTAAATTAAAATGTCTAATAATACTATTTAACTGTTGTAAGATATAAAACAACAAATACCAATATTTTAGTATAATTGTTTAACAATTTATTTAAAGAAAATTAAATTACTTAGCTAAAACTGTGCATGTGTTTATAAAACATAGTGAGCCGCCCCTGTGAAATTTTCTGAACCTGGCGCCTCTGGTACTATATAATATTAGGTAGATACATTAGACATATTATTTAGATTATGATCAAGATAATGTAGAAGCCGAGGACAAGACAAATTACACATATTGTCACGTATCTATTATATACCTACTTTTATTCGTACATTGTATTCGTACATTGTATTTTACATTTGTACCTACGTATAACTTATAAGTGTATATTAATAAGTTTAATATTTTTGCTATTCAACGACGATTTATGTACCCTATCTATCTGTTGACGTGCCTTGGAATGAAATCAACAACAATCGAAAATTTAAACCGTACCTAGGTATCTTATTAATTCTACGCGTTAGGCTATTTCAAAATGTGTTTATCATTTGGAACAACTGCAGATCAAATACTGAAAGTAAAAATATCGAATAACTTGGCCAATCATCGCCAAACGTATATATTCAATAATATACATCAATCCTGATAATATTTGCAGGTACAGATTGTGTTACATGACTTTAATATCCATGGCGTATATTAAATTACGTTTACGAATGACTACCTTATTGCTGGTGTGCGTGCAGTTTTTTTGTTTTATAGGTACATTTCCAATGTGTGAACAAAAAATATTATGTCTAAAAGTTGCTATCATATATGATGGTATGAAATAATAAATAAAATTAAAAAAATTGACATTTCCTTTAAACAAATAACATTTTAAAAACTGATTTCTAGACATAATGAAAATGATTACTGCTTATCAGCTCTAGCAACTTTAGACGGGTTTAAATTTTAATTGAATTACCAACAAATTTAAATGTAATTTCCCTATCTATATGAGACGATTAACAACAACAAATACTTTTTTGTAGACCTACATGTGTACATTACATTAGATTAATATACCAATGTTCTTTATTTTATTTTAGAATAATTTATAATTTATTACTATTATATTATTAATAATAATTAAGACATATTAGGTAGAAATTATTTTATTACGATGTATACTAATGAAGAAAATCATCAAATACACCTAATTAGGTATAACTAATTTCATGATAATTATTGCAATAAGTATGTAAAAAAAAATCAGTCTATCTGTGCCTACATTAAGTACGAGTAGGTACCGATATATTTACGACTCGTTGTGTGTATAGTTATTTTTAATAACAAAAATATATAGGTAGTGACAACTTTCATTTTGCATTTTCGGTTTAACTATACCTACTTACATATATGACAGCATAAATTAAACAATATTGTTCGCMAATTGTTCAACTATTTGTTTACTGCTTTTGTTTTGTAAAAAATTATACATAATATTATTCATGCGTCACACATCAATATTCATACAGGTGTGTTAAAAGCGATTTGTTAACAATCATGATCTTCGGATCATACGTAGTTAGGTATACAAATAAAAATTTTAATCATTCAAGCAAAGTTTGTAAATTAGAATAGGAATATAACTATTTGTATTTAAAATGATTTCTTATGTTGTATATATATATAGGTATAAAACGTAACTAACCTCGCCAGTCAGTATTATTATTATTATTTTTTTTTTATCTCATCAATTGTTTGTAATAATAACGTTCATATTATTGTAACAAATATACTATACCTGGATGTTGCGTATTTGCAACAGACACAATATAAATATATAAATCACTTGTGTGTTATATAAAAAATATTAATTAGATACTGAATACTAATAATAATTTTGTAACACGTACCTATATTGGTTTTAAATAGTAACTAGGCATAATAGTTATGATAGGTACCTATAGGTAGTATTTATTTCTTCAAAATTCGATGTTGTACAATATAATATTATAATATTATAGTAGGTATCTATACTGCAGTCGGTGACCTACGTAGGTATGTTGAAAATGTATAATGTAAGTGTTTTATTGTAGAAAATATTATAATTATTAAATTTACTATGTAATTTGTGTACTATTACTTATTAGCTAGTTATTTATTCATTTTATATGGTTTATAAATGTTTGATGTTTTTTTTTTTTTTTTAATAAAATAAAAAACAGATCAAAAAATTACATTTGAACGTATTAATTTATTTAAAATTTGACGAGTGATGAATGATGATGACTAATACGCATATATTATATAATTAATTATAATACATATAATACCTATTAATTAATAGATAATTTATTGTAAAGAGGAAGGATTATAAGATATCTACATTTATTATAATGTATTGGTACATATATAGATTCCACAAGTATTCATTAATTCAAAGTGGAAGAAACCTTCTACTTTAAATTGTTAAACCAACTTATATCGTTTAACTAATCATGTTTAAATATAATATCTAACATCATAACACGCATACCTTATGGGAATAATAGTAAAAATCGTCCTAATCTATACACTGTGGCCAGTTGCCAGGATTGAGAAAAGTGTGTTGGGGGTTAAGTATGATTTAAACCAAGTTTTTGCTTATAAATAATAAGTTTATCAGAGAAGAAACCTATGGGAGGGAGGTCAAACACATAAAACCCTCCTGACTGCGCCAATCCATGTATAAAGTAAAAGCCTATAAAATATTATTTTATACACAATACATATATACATCATTCTTCATTTTACATTTTACATTAAAGCGTTAAAAAAATGTTTATTAAAAAATATAATGTGTATTTATAATAAATCAGTAACTTGGCCAAGTAAAAGTTTACTTATATGTTTTTTGTCGATTTTTATTGGTTTTGTGCAGCTGTAATCTGCAGTGAGCCAGTGATGAAAGAATAACATTCAACCAAACAATTAACTTGTTACTGAACAAAATTACTTTTTTAATAATGGCCAATAGGCATAAAATATCTATTACATAAAACCATAAATGTACCTACATAATATACACAAGATAAGCAATTATAAGATTGAAATATTCAAACATACGTATTTGACTGTACAATTTGATATCTTTGAAGATTGTTTATTTGGTATCTTGACGTATCATTTATCTCAAGAGTTTATTTATTTGGTACCAGTTAATTACATATTATTTAATTTTATGTTCTGAGTGGTGTGTGTGAGAAATGTATATGTTATTTTTCATAAAATAATTTATTTATTAAAATTACTAATTGCTAAAGCCACCAACAGTTTCGATTTATTAACGTTATATCCGAGATTTTTTAATCTAGTACCTAAACATATTATTATGTAGGAAGGTATCTATCTTTCTTCCCCCCCCCCCGTTATGAATCACCACATGGGAGCAGTACTGTTTTCACATTGCTTAGCCCCATGTATCTACTACCAAGCGAGTTGATAATTTCTTCGCATCTAATCGTCTAAAACAATCGAACTAACAGTTTCAACAGTCATATTATGTTAAAATTCCAAATGATATGTACAACTTTTGTACTTATATGAGAAGTGTATACCCATAGGCAGAACTAGCCCCCGTCATAAACTGACATTAACCTTTAAGATTCCCATTCACATTCGATATTGAAAACGTTAGACTTCCGTTGAAATCTTCATGATTTTCCGATGAGTACCTAGGTACTTATTCTCAGTTTTCGACAAAATCGATTTTGTAATATGATGTAACTCAAAAACAGTTAACCGCAGATACTTGATATATTCACAAGATATTTTTATTTTATTTTTGAGCTATTTATTAAATTTTGAAATGTTGGATTTTCTTATCTTTTTTTTTTTTTAATGCGAATATGTGATGCATTTAATACTGCAGCGAGATGACTGTGCGACGAACGTGTGTGCAAAATTCGCATGAACCACGCATAACATCTAATGCATCTTTATTATTACGTCTGATATTCACACATAAAATAATTAAATTTCTTTTTTAGTTCATCAGTTATGAATCAAAAACAAATAACAACCATATAAATACCTACTTTAAATTATCATCAAAAAATGTTAAGTTTTAATTCTGTATTATACTATCCACCCCAAAGAAAAAAAAATCTGAATAAATTAAAAGTAGATCAGAAGACGTATAAACCTTTAATCGCTTCTGGCTAAGGTAGTATGTGTGGTTTTAACCTAAAATATGATACTGATGAGTAAAATTTTAAAAACAATTTCTTCAATAATTAGTCACTAAAATAGATTAAATAAAATAAATAATAAAAATATCCACCCGACAATTTTCTAAATATATTAGTCATTATAAATACAAACGTGACTTAATTTGACAATTGATAAGTGCACAAATCAGAACATCCAAATATATTCAAACACTTTTTAATTTTATATTGTCAATAACATTTACCTTAAACAAATTTAGCAAGTAAAACATAATTTCACTTTCACATTTAAGTAAGATACAGTTGCTCCGAACCCCCCAAACAAATGATGTTAAATCAATAGCTAAAATGGGGTGGTCCTAAGGGTTTTGCTCCTAATAGTCATTAGGACTTTAAGGCTGCTCATATAATGTAGATAGTATCATAAAGTAACATCATAGTATAACAATAACCTTGGTATGAATATTTTTCATAGGTGATGCCTTCTGAAAATAAAATTTTTTTAGAGCACGGAGCCACCAAGTTGAATAAGATTCATGTTTGCTTCGAAAATTAATACCGGTCTCATATCAAAACAATAAAATACAGGTACTGTTTTACTGATCTTATTTGGATATTAAAACAACTTTGGTATATAAAATGTTTAAAAAAAACTTTTAACTAATATGAAAATTATATCTTAGTTTGACAAAATATATAATAAATTATAAATATATATTTATATATCGAAATATACAGATATATTTTATTCTAAA